ACACACACACACACACACACACACACACACACACACACACACACACACTTTTTTGATATGTGTATTTCAATATAACTGGCTCCTACATAATTCTATGCATCTTATTTAATACATTTAAAAAAAAACAAATCTGAGAAGTGGTCCATAGGCTTCACCAGACTGTCAAAGGGGTCCACAACACAAAAAAAAGGTTAAGAACCCTGTCTTACAGGGGCAAGTAAAGTAATCTCACCAAATAAGAAGTCATTATAGGTGAGAAAGAATAAATATAGGAATATATACTAATATACTACATTAATGGAAGCAAACCTAAATCTATGTAGCATATTTTAACATGCTTGATGCAATACAACATAAAGATATTTTAAAAAGATTCCTTTACTGACAATTCTATACGTATATGTAATTATACATGTATATATAGATACACACACACACACACACACACGAAAACATCTTATCATTTACCATGCTCTTTCCTGAGGATCACTCAGCACATCATACGCTGCCTGGATTAATTTGAATTGTTCAGCTGCTTCTGCTGCATTATCCAAATTTTTATCTGTGAAAAAAAAATCATCCAAATGTAGACATCTGAAGCACAGGAGCTCAAATCAATTTAAGAAACATTAATTAAGCATCTACTAGGTGGTAGGCAAAGCGTTAAATGCTGGCTTGGGCTTCTAAAGCGCTTTTTCTCCCTCTACAAATATCAGAAAAATCAACACAATCTAAGTGACTAGCTAAAGAATAACCATAGTCCACATTTATTTTAAGAATCTCTATCCATGGATAGAGCTCCAGCCTTGGAGTCAAGAGGATCTGAGTTCAAATCCAGCCTCAGATACATAACACTTACTAGCTGTGTGATCCTGGGCAAGTCACTTAACCCTATTGCCTAACCTAAAAAAAAAAAGAATCTCTACCCATGTAAGGAGATTCAAGAGGTTCATTATGACTCAGTGCAGTGCAGCCTGCCCCACCTAGCATTAACCTAATGAAGAAGTCACTTTATACACATTTTCACTTGTTTCAGAAGACCTGTGATTCTGTTAGTCTGATGCTGCCTCCATCCATGCTAACCACAAGCACTCTGCACTGTAGTAGACAAGCTTCATGAATTGTTGTGGCTAAACTTCTCTGTCCACACTTAACTAGGTCCTTCCCTGAATGACAAACTCGCCATCCATCACTCGGACCAGATTCAAATCCTTTGCTGACTAGAAAAACCTGTTAAGACTTGCCGCCACGTTGGCATGGCCTTCAAAGACTACAATTCACATTTATAAAGCCAAAAGGTTAACTGGGAGTCTGAGAACTTGATTTTTTAATATTTTAATAACTGTATATTAATAAAATTGGTTTCCTTTGTAATCTTATGGTTTTAATTTTATGCTTTTAAAAACATTATTCGGAGCAGCTAAGTGTTGCAATGGATAGAGCACCAGCCCTGGAGTCTGGAGGACCTGAGTTCAAATCCAGCCTCAGACACATAACACTAACTGTGTGACCCTGAGCAAGTCACTTAACCCCACTGCCTAGCCAAAAATATATAAATAAAAACATTATTCTGTGAAAGGGTCTGTAGGCTTCACTAGACTGCCAAAGGACTCCATGACACACAAAAAAGTTAAGGAGCCTTGGCCTAGCCCTTAAACAAAGTACATTCCTAACAACAACCTGTGTGGCAGCTAGCCCAAGTAGCAGTATCGTCATCTTACAGCTGAGAAAACAGAGGCTCAGAAAGATAAAGCCACTTATCCAAAGTTTCAGAGTCATGAATCAAAACCAGAATTCATGACTCCAAGTCCATTATTATTTTGACTACACCTTGCCTGGTTCACCTCCCTGCCACAATTTAATATTGCACTAGACCTTGAGCATAACTTTTATAAAGGTCCAAAAAAATAACTATTCAGGTACCCTTTAAAAGGATGCTTTATATAATGTTACATCATACTGTATGTTGCCCACATTACCTGCAATTTTCCTCTCCAAAGGAATTTACAAAAATAAATCTTAATGCGCAGAGGTAGTCAGCTCTCATTCATTACACTTCCCTAATCACAGAAAACAATAAAACCTTTTTGACTCCCTTAAAGAAAAATATTCTAAATCTATATAAGGGATCCTAAAAGTACTGGTTACATTGAAATATGATGTTTTGTTCTATGTCAGAAGAAACTATTATAAGTCTCACGATGCTGGTTATCAGCTGCCTCTCTCCCCACCTCCTGCCTCCCAATGTAGAGCTCTCTGCCTCTTAGATCCTACCAGAGGTTCAGAGTGCAAATGAAAGCCTGCTCAAAACCACATCACAACATTTCAAGCATTGTAATTTGCACTGACCCTTTATAATAAAATGTTTTCTAGATCTAAAGAGACCTGCCAACATCTCAGTACTGAGCCCTTGCAGACTTCTGCCAAATCCCTGATCTCTGCAAAAGAAGGATCCAAGTTTCACCTCCCCTAATTTCATTAAGTATCTGGCTATCAATTTTGAATTACATAAGAAAATTAAGTACATTAACCTCTGACCTGGCAATCTTACTATTAGCTATAAAACCCAAGGAAGTCAAAGACAGAAATAATGCTCTAGATAAATATTCAAAGCACCATTTCGTGGTAGCAGAGACCAAGAACCAAAATGGGCATCCAGTAAAGGGAGGGAAGAAGAGAATATGCATTTAATTAGCGCCTACTATGTGCCAGGCACCAGACTAAGAACTTTTTTTTTTTCAAATAAATATTGCATTTGATCCTCACAACAACTCTAGAAGGTAGGTGCTATTATCATCCTCATTGTACGGTTGAGGAAACTAAGGCAAAAAGAGGTGAAGTGCCCAGGTCACATTCCTATTAAGTGTCCAAGGCAGCTGGACTTAAGCTGGGATCTTTCTGACTCCAGGCCCAGCACTCTATCCAGTGAGTCAAAGTTGCAAAGAGGGAATGGTTAAAAAACAAACAAATAAACAGCACATGGAATGTAAAGGAATATTATTGTGCACTAAGAAATGACAAATGTTCAAAGAAATATGAGAAGGTTTGTATGAACTGAACCACAGAGAAATAAGCAGGACCAAAAGAACAATGTATACGATGGCTACAACAACATAAGAGAAAATAAATGGACACTAGCTAATGAAACAGGCTCCTCCCTCAGAAGACACAGAGAATTACTAGGACAGAATGGAGCATACCCTGTCAGATGTGATCATTGTACTAGATGTTTTTGCTTAATTGTTTTCATTTTTCACAAGGGAGAGATTCAATCTGGAGGGTGGAGGTTGAAATGACTGCAATGTAATGACAAAAGGCATCAAAATTAAATAAACACAACTAACTTCGAACTTCTATTACATGAAAAACTGGAAATTTGGTTAAACCACTTGGAGTGTGTGATTTTATAACATGGGAGTAGGTATGAAGGGTAACTTTTTTTTAGCAGAGGAAAAAAGTAAAATTTAGCTTGTAAGACATTGGATCCAAGGCATATCTGGAGACACCATCTCAAATTTCCTGTCCTAAGGCTTGGACAATTCTGGCCCAGTTTGGGGTCTGGAGGAATCTGAGTGGAAATAACCTGCTATGGTATAACGCAGTTCTGGCCATCCCTAGTCTGAAGACCCTCTGGGAGGCTAAGAATCTTCCAGAGGCCACAAAATAGACTCACAGCATCCAAAGCTGCCACCAAACTACCTTGGCCTTCCTTTGGGAAGAACTCCTCCAAATCTAGAAACCAGCAACATATCTTAGTATAAACTGGGATGCACGTATAAGCATTCAGTCAGGAACATTTTCCACAAAGATGGATTTTTCAATTGCACTGGCTATGATTTTACTGCTTACTTTATAAGTCAATTCTACCTTACATAAGTCACTTGAACCCTCTAGCACTGTGTTCCCATAACAGTTGATCCCTACATCACAGTATTATTTGGTGGATTCAAACAGATAATGAACATAAAGCATTCAGTAAATCATAAACGACTATATAAATGCATTGCATCATGATGATGATGATGATGATGATGATTACTTACGGCAGTTACACAGAGAGGCAACACTAAGACCTTTATGACACCTACTTCCAAATTCAAAAACTTTACATTTTAGTCAAGTTTAAATTCTGTAACCTTGGAGGCAGTATAGAATTTCAGATAGCCAGCTACAGAATCTGGAAGACTTGGTTTCAGTCCCACCTCTGAAATATATAGGACCATGGCAAGTCATAGCCTCTCAACAAGCCACATAATTCCCTAAGATTATATATTTCAGAGAAGTTGTTGATCTTAACTGGTGGAAGGCATCCCCACCAGTCCAAGAATGCCCTATATCAATAAAACCTATTAAAAAATCTTGAGTTACAACTCAAGGGACCTTAGAGTTCCACTACTCTAAACTCATAGTCAATGAAGGAACTATATCTATGACATCTTTAACATATGATCATCAGACACCCTATTTGTAGAACTGTGAATTGGTTTGACCATTCTGGGAAACAATTTGGAAATTATACCCTAAAAAACACTAACCTAGACATACCTTTTGATCCAGTAATATTATTATAAGGCACAAATACCATGGAAATCAAAGATGGCAGAAAAGGGATCCACATGCCCAAGATTATTTATAGAAGCACTTTTTGTAGTAGCAAAGAACTGGAAACAAAACAGTTAGCCATCAATTGCGGAATGGATGAACAAATTGTACTATATAAATGCAATGTGACTGATTTAGAGAAACATAGGAAGACTTGTATGAAATGAAGCACAGTGAAATGAATAGGACCAGTACAACCATTTATGCAATGACAATAATATGAAGAAAAATAACTTTAAAAGACCTGCAACCTCTAATCAAAGCAACAAATTTTAAAAAAAAAGCAACAAATAATAATTACTTCAAAAGATCAACAATGAACCACACCTGCCACCTCTTGATGGAGATATATACTCTCATATATGGTATAAGTGCTGATTTGTTTTGCTGGATTCTACATATTTGTTAGAAGGATGAACTTCTACTCTTGGAGGTGGGGTAAGGGAGTAAGTTTAGTGTGAACTGATAAGACAGACACAAAAAAAGAAAATGCATACATAAAACTTATTGTAAATAAATGCCCAGGAAACAAAAATGTTCAGAAGGGGATACAGAATAATTTTATTATTTCTCTGTTAAACATTACATTATACTATATTACATTATTTTATATATATATATATATATATATACTTCTTAAAAAACAAACTATACATTAGTGTTTCACAGTCTCTTTTCCAAGCCTCTTGTGTATGTTGATAGGTATGTTTGTTGATGATTAAGTTCATAATAAAAACAAAAATGTATAACCATGATCATCCAGCCTCTACCTGAACACATCCATAATAGACTCACCCTTCTCACAATAGCAGATTTTATTGATGGTCAGCTATTTTAGAAATTAAGGATCACAGAAACACTGGTTTTGAGTTAGAAGTGACTAGTTACTCTCTCATTTTACAAGCAAGGAAAATAAAACTCAGAGAGGCTAATTGACTTGCTCAAAGTTACAATAGCAGTAAGAGGAAGAGCTAAGACCTACCCTTGTTCCTTCCAACTCCAAATCCAGACTCTTTCCATGACATCCTTCTATTTGTGTTATTAGCATTCAAATGATGCTACTGACTCATACAGAGCTTCTCATCCATTCTGAAGTTGTATAATTGATTTTTTTAACCTAAATTTAGGGCTACATTTATTACTATTAAATTGCAGTCTGTTGGTTTCAATCTCACATTTCTATTCACTAATATCATATTGGATTTTGATTCTGTCATTCAATGAATTAGTTATTGCTAATAGCTTTATATGATCCACAAATTTGGTAAATACAACCTATGTGTTCATCTAAACCATTAATTAAAACACTGAACAGGGCAAAGCTAAGGAAACCCTTTTTCAACTTAATAGAACCTCCCATTTTGGATATCAAAGGAGGCAAAGATATCATCAAAGACTGAAACTTCCAATATTTCATGTGAGATAATAAAGAATAATTATTACTAACTCTATATATAAATAAAGTTTAAAAGACAAAGTTGAAAGTTGGGTAAAGCCAGCAATTGAACTTGAGAAAAAAGCTGGCTCGTGATGATTTGTATATGTAGCTATTGATTTGTTTGTTTACTTTAGGAATTTTTATTATTGTTGTTGGGGAGAGGGAATGGACCAAAGCCAAAGCTGGAAAACCCCTCAAATGTAAAATCTTAAAATCAAGTTTAATCTCTTAGTAATGCTTCTTTCTGAAATTAACACTTCAATTTGCTACATTTGGTTTTACTTTACATTTCATTAAACTATATTTTGGTACAGAATAATCCTGTTTAGAATAACTATACACTATACACAACTAGTTATGAAACAAGTGAATCTAGACACTAAAATATGTACCACTGGATTAACAAAAAAAAAAAATTTCCTAACTGATTAACTTACTAAATCATGCTGCAAAACTGGAAATTATTCCCTTTAAAAGATATCCCTGATTCATAAATTTTCCATCCTGAAAGACTGCTGCTATTACCAGGTTTTGTTAATCACTCAAACTATAGAAAATTGATCCAGGTATGTCTTATTCATCTTCTATCTCCCCATACCACACCTAGCATATAGGAGCTCAATAAACATGACTAATCAATTAATGATAATAATAAAATATCTTAACTATATCAAAGGAGTTGATGTTCATCCATTATGTAATTTCACAAATGTAAAGTTTAAATGACCTAAATCACACAGATCACTGAGGTGGGGTCTAAAATCCCATACAAAACCCACAAAGAAGCCATATTCTTTAGACATTTTGCTTTAAAACTTAACCATTGATTACATCCTCAAAACCTTATTAGTTTGAAGAATGCCATGTCTCAACTGAAAAACTGGTGAGCACACCTAGTTAAAGATTTACTTCACTATAGGTAGAGAAACGGGATAAGTTGGAGATAGGAATATACCTCCACGTGGCTAAAATTAAAGGCATCTTGTATCTTGGAAATAGGGGGCCCTAAGAGACAAAAGAGTAGATTGTGAAAGTCGTACTCTGAAGTTCCAGCACACGGTTCTCTCCAGATTGAGAGGCCACAGACGAGAGGCTGGGGCACAGAGGATGCGCTGCCCAACCTGCCCAGGGTCAGTCCCCCAGCTAGGGGTCAGATGGGATCCCAAGGCCAGCATCTCTATCACTGCCCAACAAGCAGGAGGGAGCCATCAACTGCAGGCTGCCCAGGAGAGAGGGTGGCAAGCCTGCACTTGCACAAATAAATGTGTTTGGGCCGATGATCTCAGGCTGCCCAACCCCTCCTGGACCCCACTTCTTCCCTTCTCTGACTACAGCAGCAAGAAATACTACTCCCATTATATAAATGATGTTATGTATGCGCCTTTAAAGTTTGGGGGGGGGGATTGCCTTCTCCCCATGGAGAAGCCAGGAGGAGCAGGAAGGGGGGGAGAAGGGCGGCAGGGGGTGGTCTGGAGGGGACCCCCGCAGCCTGGGGGTGGGGGAGGTGAAGAGAAGAGGGGGAGGTTCCCACCTGGGAGGGGAGGGGATCAAGTTACTCGGGGGATAAGATGGGGATGGGGAGCATTCAAGAAAGGGAGAAACATGTCGCTGGGGGTGGAGGGATCCACAGATTGTTCGGGCAGGAGGGGAGGAGGACTCGTCTAGACGGCGGGAGGCGGGGGGAAGCGCCCGCTGGGGACGGGGCAGGATCGGGGATGGGACACTGACCCCCGGCCGGGAGAGGCGGTTGGTCGGGTCGGGGTCGGGGTCGGGCCCCGGGGCCGGTAGTTACCCGGGTGCCATTTCAAGGCCAGCCTCCGATAGGCCTTCTTCAGCTCCTCCTCGCTGGCGTCGCGCCGCACCCCCAGCGCCTCGTAGTGACACTTCATGCCGGGGCCGGGGGCCTGGCAGGAGGCTGCGCCCTCCTCCTCCTCCTCCTCCTCCTCCGGCCTCGGAAAGAGCGGCTATTTCGGCGGCAGCTACCGCCGGAGCCGGAGCCGGAGCAGGAGCCCAAGCCGGCGGCGGCACCACATGGGGAGGGGGCGGGGCCTGTCCCGGAAGGAGCCCACAGACCCGGTCTGTCCGGAGCAGGGCCCTAGACCGGCCCAAGAGGAGAGGGGAGGGGGCGGGGCCCGGACTGAAGAGGCGGGGCCCACACGGAAGGGCGGGGCCTAGGCGCAAGGGCGGGGCCGGTGAAGGTGGAAGCGAAGTCGAAAGGGGGCGGGGCAAAACCAAGAGAAAGTGGCTCGGATTAAGGAGCGAAGCTTGGAAGGGAGGTGGGGAGCCCTGATGGAAGGGGCGGGCCGGAAGCTGCGGAGGGGGCGTGGCCTAGTCAAGACGGGGCGGAGCAGAGCCTGGAGGAGCGGCGCACAGAGCCGGGGACGGGACTAGACAGGAGGGGCGGAGCCTAGACAAGAGGGGGCGGGGCAAAGACTTGAGTACCACCGGAGTGGCGGGGGAGCGCCTGGTTGACTTGCACCCACACCCCGGGGATAAAAAAATAAAAAGAAAAGAAAAAGACAATCCCTATTCTCAGGAAGCTCACAGTTAAAAAGGGAGACAACGCTGGAAGTTTCAGCTGTGTCAGATGGAAAGGTCCCATGGTCTTTAGGTTCAAGTCATCAAGCATTTATTAAGCACCTGCTCTGTGACAGGTACCGTGCTAAGTGCTGAGGATGCAAAGAAAGGGGGAAAAACAGCAACGACAATCCCTACTTTTAAGGCGCTCACAGTCTAAAAGGAGAGACAACATGAAAACAACTATATACAAATGAGATAGATAATGGATAACTTGGGGGGAGGTCTCAGAGGGAAGGCACTAAGATAAAAAAGGACTGCAAAAGGCTTCCAGTAGAATGGGAGACTTTAGCTGAAACTTGAAGGAAGCCAGGAGGCAGGGATGAGGAGGATTCAGCAGCAAAGCAGATGGCAATGCATCTTCTTTAATGTCATTTCCAATGATAAAAATTGTATCAGTTTTTGAGGCTGAATCATTTGATGGTGCCAAGGATTTTGATGGTGAGAACTTTCTTTTCTGTCTTCAGTAGCTGTGCCTACAGCTCCAAAGAAGCAGGTGCCAGGCTACGGCTTACCAGAGTTGCTTCCAGAGCCAATGGCTTCAAAGGCAGCACTGAAAGTGGGGCTGTTGGTCTGGTAGTGGGGGTGCGCTGCTGCTCCCCAGGCCCTTAGGCTGATCTGCCAGTTGGCACTTGGTGATAGTGGTAGCAGGCCAGGCCCCTTCTCCACAGTGATTGCTGCCCTCAGTGATGGCTGTGGGGTAGCTAGGGAGAATAGTCAGGAAGACATGAGGTCAAATCCAGTCTCAGACACTTTCTAGCAGTTACCCTGAGCAAGTCACTTAACTGCATCCTATCTGTTTTCCAAACTGTCAAATGGGGATAATAATAGCACCTACTTCAGAGTTGTTGTGAGGTTCAAATGAAATATTTGTAAATCACCTAGCACACAGGAGTTTAATAAATGCTTGTCCCCTTTCCCTTTTTGCCCTCTGTAGAGCCTGGGCTGGAAGCAGATCTGGTGATCTGGAAGGGGAGGAAGAGGGGTGCTGCTATTCCCAAGAGTCTTGGGTTCAGAGTCATATACTATCAAAATATGTGGGAAGGTGGAGGTGCCAGGTTTAATTTGCCTGGTATATGCTGCCAAAGAAATCTCTGGGTGCTGGGAAGACAGTACTAGGAGGATTAGAATAAGCCTTCCTTTTAGAAGATGACACAAGCTGAGCCTTGAAAGAATCCAAGGATTCTATAGAGTAGAGGTAAGGAGGGAGTACATTCCAGGTAAAAATTGTGCCTAAAAACATTCTATTATCTGTTCAGAATTAACATTTACCTTAAGGTCCAAGGCGATGATAATTTGAGGGCAGAAAGATTGCTGATGCTTCCTCACTGAGTTCTGGATCAGCGTGCACCCATAGAAAACAGTTCCAGCAGACAGGGAGATGTGATGACCAGGATCCCTGGAGGGAAAGCGGACAAGCCTTTCTCCAAAGTGTTCAAGAACAGTGCAAAAACTCATTGCTATAAGGGGCAGCTAGGTGGTGCAGTGGATAGAGCACCTGCCCTGAAGTCAGGAGGACCCGAGTTCAAATGTGACCTCAGACCAAACATTTGACACTCACTAGCTGTGTGACCCTGGGCAAGTGACTTAACCCCAATGGCGTAAACAAAAAACCAACAAAACAACAAAAAAAACTCATTGCTATAGAAGTGACCAGACCAGGCAAATGCTGTTCAAAAATCCCTGGCTAGACCCAAGAGTGAGTAGGGTAGTTGGAAAAGAATCTCGTGTTTAGAGTAACAATCAAATTAAGGTTTATAGACACTCTAAAAACTGTGATTCTTAACATCCACTGTCTATATCTCTATCACGTTGGCACTATTACTGCAAAAACAGAAGAGGATATCATGGAACTGAGGCCATTTTGTATTTTTCTTTGTCTGATGCATTGCCATAGCCAAAAAAAAATCACCAAATGATTAGCTTAGAGGTGATGAAGAAATATATTAATAAAACCCATAGATGCTGGTCCAGTATTTTCAAAGCACCAGGAAGATATAGACCTGGAGAAATATTAAAGCAACATAAAGGAAATTTAAGCCCATTTTAATTATGTAAAATAGCCAAATATACTTTTGCTACTCTCATGAATTCATATTTACATAAGGAGATTAAACAGGGATGTTCCTCAGTCAAATTGATGAGCATATTTCTTTCCACGTAACATGAATGTGCCCATTGGCATCTTTTTAAAAGGACAAAGAAAACTGATTAGTATCCTGTCACTGGGGCTGCCTCCAAGATGGACTCTTAGGAGGGCAGACTGGTCACAAGAAGCCACCCCTTTATGCCAGACTACAGAAAAGAACCAGTAAACCACTCCCATCCTTTGTCCTTTTCCATTTTTCTACATTGTGTCTTTTTGGTTTGTTTTTTTTTTTTTTTTGTTGGGGGGAACCTGCAGAGTGGGGTGAGAGCAAGTCGATTTTTTTTTTCCATTCCCCCACACCAAGAGCAGTTAATGGTATCTTGGAGCAGAAGCAGATAGGTGTTTGCCCGGTTGGCCTGAGAATGGAGTTCCTTAGTGTGGATGTTCCCAGATTAAGACAGGATGGTGACTGGAACAGTATGTGAATCAATGTGAATGCTTTATATATTTTCTGTGAGTCATTTCCTCCATTATTTTCTGCGAAATACATGCTGTTCTCTATCATTAAGCATTTGTTACCTTGAGTGCTTGTGTGGAAGCTGAAGCCTCTCTTTTCCATGTTTGTGGAAATCTAGACATTAGCATATTTGGAGATTTCCCAGAAAAAAAAAAACCCTGGGAAGAAACAAACCAAAAATTGACCATGTGGGTCAGTCCCCAAGTTCTGGGTTCACACGGACTGAGTCTGATTTCAATTGATTAGTCAAAAGGACCTGAAATTGTGCTATCAATGGGACAACCCCTTCACATTCCAGTGAAATCCCTCTTTCCAGTCATACACAGTGCCTCCCAAATTCATAGTGTCCCTCTGATTTAGATTCCTCCCAAAAGGTAAACACACTTTGAAGGTGGTGAACAGGACACCCCTTTCTCACTGGAAACTTCCATGTCCAAATAATCTCAGAGAAAATGGCAACGTCATGGATCTTTCACTTCTTAATGCCACTGCTCAAAGCCAGGTTCCTAACCTCCCTAACTATTCTTGGGATTGGGGAAGGAAGAAATTTACTCACCCCAAATCACCATAACCTTTACTCCAAAAGGTACAAGGAAAAAATTGAGGGGGAAAAAAAAGACAAGAGGTGAGAATGGCTTTCTGACTTTCTTTTTATAGGAACCACAAAGAGGTGGTTCCTAACCAAAGCCTACTCTTCTGAGTTCCAGATAACCAACCTGTCATTAGAGGGATACTACTAGTCACTGGAGATTAATCAGAGTTGTCTGTTTCTTTTTAACAAGGTGCCAATCGGCATGACCCATGAGAGGGAGGAATGCTCAGGAAATTGATTAGGGAACTCCCAGGACCAATTTCCTTTACATTTAAAGATAAAAATATCACCATCAAACTCAAAATCAAAATAGAAAATCCTATCTCACATCAAGGAGTAGTTGAGTAATTCTAATATTGTATAATTTTAATTTCAGACAGTTGCTATATAAAATTTAATCTCAAAGGTATAGTATTAGATTGCTAAAATTAAGACTTGTGAAAATACCTGTTCAACGAGATTTCCAGTTCAAAAAAGTATGCTGTATATTCCTTATATTTATTCATTCTCTTTCTTTATTTGTATATTTATTTTTCTCATAGTTCTTTTACATTTCTTTCTCAATTTTCCTACGTATCATTTTTGACTACTCTCCCCTTCTGGATACCCTCTTCTGAGTTTTGTTACTGTTGGTTCTTCAATTTGTTGGACTACTCCTTCTGTCCGTTTTCTGGACTTTTATCTATGTCATGCGTACTATGAGTTGTCCCCCAAAGCTTTGTGCAGGGCCCTTTTCTCTTTCTGTCCTACACTATCTCATTCCATGATCTCATTGGCTTCTATCAGTTCAATAAACATCTATGAAGGTGATTTCCAGATCTATTTATCTAACCCTAGACTCTTCTAATCTCCAGTCCCACATCACGATGGACATTTCTAACTGGCTGTCCTGTGGCATCTTAAAACGTCCAAAACAGAACTCATTTTCCCCAAACCTTTTCTTCCGTTTCCCTATTATTGGGGGTCCCCCACTATTCTAAGTGTCCAGGTTCATGTTTGTGTTACCTTCCACTTGTGCTCGCCCCACATGCCCAATCAGAGGCCAAGTCTTCTAATTTCTTTCTCTAAATATCTCTTATATGTCCCCTTCTTTCCACTAACACAGCCACCACTCTAGTTCAGACCTTCACCACTTCTGTCCAGGTTTATTGGATTAACTG